TATAATATAATATAATATTATTATTATTATTATTATTATTATTATTATTATTATTATTATTATTATTATTTTTAATTTTTATAGATGACTTGATTGTTTGAATGAATTTTAATTTTTAATAATTTTAAAATAATTATATATATAATTTTTATTTACTAATTCTTTATATTAATTGTCTGTATTTAAAAAAAAAAAATTTTCTTTTATGTATAAATATTTGTTAAATTTTTTTATATTTAAAATATTAAATAATATCTAATTTTTATTAATTTTAATTATTTCTTTTTAAAAGTTTTTTAAAGTTAATAAAATATATTTTTTAGCTAATTTTTAGCCTGAAAATAATATAAAATATTTTGTATAAAAAAAAAATAATTATATTCAAAAAGTTTTTTTTTAAAAAAAAATGCAAAATTAATAAACTACTATTTATTTAATTAATAAATAATGCTCATATATTTTGGTAATCGTAGATGTAAAATTTATTTTTTAATAATATATATAATATATATATATCCATTTTATATATATTATATAAATTAATAAACAATAATTAGTAAATGAAAGGAAATACTTTAATTAAAAAAGATTTTTATAAATTATTAAATGAATTAAGCTTATCTTATAATAAAATAATAAAGTTAACGTGTAAATTACCAAATTTAATAAACCTAATAGTTTTTAATCTAAGTTATATTTTGCCATGTAAATATAAATAAATAATCAAATAATTTTTATTTATTTAAAAAGAAAAATTAGAATTTTTTTCTATAAATAAACTTCTTTAATTAGACTTATCTTTTAACTAAATCAGATAATTATGTTTAATTGAAAAAGGATAATAATTTGAATATATAAATACTAATTTATTCTCATACTAAGAAAATATTATATTATATTTAGATATAACCTAAAACTTAATTTAAAAAGATGTTTATGTTTCTTTCATATACTTAAATAAGCAACAAATGTTAAAAATAAATATAAATTTTTATATTATTTACTAAAAAAAAAAGATTATATTTAAAATAAAAAAATGTAATATATAAGACTTTTTAATATATTATTTGTACGAATATTAGTGAAATAAAAAGACTTATAAAGTAATATTATATATATTTATAATAAATATTTAAAATAAATTTAATAAGTTAATAAAAATAAAATAATAATGAATCTAATAATCTTTTATGTGATTCTAATACAATTTAGGATGAAAAAATAGAAAAAATCAATTAAAAGAAATCAACTTAATATATAAATCCAAATAAAATAATCTAAAACATATTAAAGAAAATTAATAATTTAAATGAGAATGAATAATCAAGTACTATAAAAAAGAATATTGAACCTTAATAATAAATGAAATACCGAACGCCAGTAAAAAAAAGTTTTTCCATAAAATATTTTCAAAAAGAAAATCTAAAAAAATAAAAATAAAAAAAATTATAAAACTAAAACTAATAAGAAATCACTTAATTTAATTTAGAAAGTACACTTAAAGATTAAAATTAATAAAAAAAAAAAACATTTTTTTAAGATATTATTAACAATATTACTATAAACGAATAAATAAATATTTATTAAAGTTAAATAGAGTAAAAATGAAAAATATAAATATAAATATAAATATTAAATAAAAATAATATATATAATTATATATAATATATATATTATAAATTTATATTTTTTTTTTTTATACATTTTTAAACATCATATATTTATATTTTCATTATTATAATTATATATTAGGAAATAATTGAAATTTAAACTAAAAGTTTTAGAAGATAAAACTAGCTATTTAGAATATAACTTGAACTAATATTAGTTAATATGTAATTAATAAAAAGTATAATTATAAGATATGAATTTTTATCGTTTTTTTTGTGAGTATTTAATGAAAGATTAAGAAAAGTATTATAAATAGCTCTATTATAGTAATATTAAATAATTTTGTTAGCAAATAGAATTAAATTATATTAAAATTAATTAAGATTGATATTCAAAATAAAATTAAAATTATTTATCTATACATATATATTTATATTTTAAATATCTAAAAAACTTAAATTATAAAAAATTATTCTTATAACAATATTAAAAAATGTAAACTTCTATACTAGAAGATATATAAGGAGTCATTGATTTTTCTCAAGGACTTGATAATTTTACAAGATATGGTTTATTAATAATGAATTTTGCTATAATAATAATAATTTTGATTGTTAAGTAAATTAAAAAATCCTAATAAACTGAAAGGAAACCAATTTTATTTATAATAGCCCACCCAGATGATGAAGTAATGTTTTTTTTACCAGCCATAAAAGATCTTGAAAGCTAATACGAAATGCACTTATTAAGTTTTTCAAACGGTGATTTTGATAAGCTAGGTAAAATAAGAGAAATAGAACTCGAGAAATCTTGTAAAAAACTTGGTTTTGTTAAATATTAAATAATAAACGATTAAGAAATACAAGACGGTATGTAAAATAAATGGCCAATTTAAAAAATGGCGGAAATAGTAAAAAAATACACCATTGAAAATAGCATTAAAGGAATTTTTACTTTTGATAATAAAGGAGTAAGTGGACATCCAAATCATATTGACGTTTATAAATGCGTAAAATATTTAAATGATCAAAACGAGTTAGATAAAGAAATAAAGCTTTTTAGTTTAAAAAGTGTGAATTTAATAAGAAAATATTTAGGATTTTTTGACATTATTTTATGTATTTTTGATGAAAATGTTTTTATTAATTATAATCCGATTTATTCTTGGAAATGTATGTTAATTCATAAATCTTAATTTGTTTGGTATAGAAAATTGTTTTTACTTTTTTCTAGATATACTTTTATTAATACAGTTGAAAGATTATAATGAAATATTAGTATTATTTATGTAATTCGTGTATTTTTCAGATATTCCTTTTTTTCTATTTTTGTTTGTTTTTTCTTCTCCCTTATTTTGTAAATATCATATTTAAATGATATAAATAATATAATTTATAGTTTTTATTTTTTGATATACATTTTTTTATTTAGATTTTTTTTTTATATATATATATATATGTATTTATTATGATTTGATTTTATATAATTTATTTGAAAACTCTATATTTGAATAGTTAATAGTATAAAAACAAACAAACAAACAAAATATGTAATAAAAGATTGTTCCCAAATTTATTTTTAAATCCAAGAATTAATGGGTAAAATAAGTATTAGATAAAACTAAGAACGAAAATAATAATAAAATAATTGATTAAATAATAGCTAGTAAATATGATGACTAAGCTTTAGATAATGTATATAATTAATTCGAAGTTCTTATAGATTAAGTCTTTTAAAATAATTAAAATTTGCATAAATATTTATATGAGAAATAATCTCCTAGTTAAAATAATAATAACTAACAATTTCATACTTTTCATAATTAAAGGAGTTCTTAAAAAATTAATAATAATTCTATATTTAGTCCTAAATCTCATTCAAATGAAATAAAAAGACAAAAAACACATCGAATAGTATTAAATTCAATAAAAAAATAAGAAAAAAATAAATATAATTAAAAAGATTTTTTAAAAAAAGATAAATAATTAGAAGAACTAGAAGTTTCTATAAATAACAAACATTTCATATAAAAAGAAATATAAGAAAATTCTTAGTTTTAAGAAATAAATAATAACGAACAGTAGATTTTAGAAAATGTAAAAAATAATAGTGAGAGAGAAAAAAATATAAACTAAAAATAAATTTAAAAATAAATAGATGTAATAATATATAAATATATATATATATATTTATATATTTATATATATATATTTATATAATAGTGTTAAATAATTCATTTGTCTTATATTTTAATAGAAGAATATAATAAGAAATTAATTTTTAATTTAAATTTGCCTATTATTTCTTTAAAAATACTATTTTTAATTTATTAATAAACAAATTCAAATATGTTTAAATTAATATATTAAATATTATAAGAATATTTATTTTGTTTTGATTAAAGTATTAATTAAACACTTGAATTAATAAATTAAAAAACAGAAACTAAAAAATATTCCTATAAAGAAATCTCTGATCTTTTTTCCAAACAAATCCAAATACTTTCAAAAAACTAGGAAATACAAAACTGTAATTATCTCCGTGACATTTAAACTTACTAAGAAACAATATCTACATAATAAATGGGAATTTAGCAAATGCGTAAAGATCTAAATGATACAGAACTCATTGTATTTGAAAAATTTAAAGAAGAAATAAATACCCTTAAATAAAGCCTTGAATTATCAAATAAAAAGCTGACTTAATTAACGAAAGAAAATAGTGATTTAAATAAGAATATAAAATAACTTGAAGGTCTATTTTAATAAAAAGAGAATTCATTAAAAATATAAATGCAAGAAATCGAAAAATAATATACTTAATAAATAAACGATTTAACCTAATAACTTGAAAAATTAAAATTAATAAAGGAAAATTAAGAATCTCATAATAATATAATAACACATTCATACAAAACAGCACTTTTATCGATGAAAATTTTAAAAGATAAAACAAATGGAATGGAAGCTAAAATAAACATTCTTTTAAATGAAAATATGAGGTTAAATTAAAGGGCGGCAACAAATTTTTACGATTTAACACCAAGACCTAACTTCAATGATTTAGATGATATTATTGATATAAATAGGCCAATTGTATAAAAAAAAACAGAAAAGATAAACTTTTAAGAACTCTCTACTTAATAAAAAGTGAAACAAAAAGCTTAATAAATTATAACCTTAATTAATAAAATTAAAGACGAGTATGATTAGAAAATTAATAATATTTTAAAAGAATAGTCAGAAGTTGATTCTTAAGTTAATAAAATAAAATAAAAATAAAAAAAAATAAAAGACACTTAATAAATACTAAATAAAGATTAAAAAATTAATATAATAAATAATGGTAATTATACATAAAAAAGTTAAGAAAATATTAAAATAAATACTTTAAAAAATATTGAAATTTTTTCTAGTTAGAAAAAAGATTCTAATACTTAAAATTAAATTGATATTGAAAATAAAAATAATAATGAATATGATAAAAAAGATAATATTGATATTTAAAATGAAGATGAAAACGAAAACGAAAGCGAAACTGAAAATGAAATATTTAATAAAAATATAATACGAAAATAAAAATGAAAAAAAAAAAAATTTAAATAAAATGATAAATTTATTTTATAATATATATATAAATATAATATAATAATATATATATATATTTATTGACATATAAATTTAAATTATTTTAATTTTTTTTTTTTTTTTTTAAATAAAAAAATAATAATATTTTTTTCATAATTCTTTATTATTGCCAAATATAAAAGTAAGATGATCAATTAACGTTCTAGCAGTTTCCACATATTTAGAATAAGGTATAATTTATAATAAAGCTTAAAAATTTGGTTAAACGATAATTTTTAACATATATTCAATATTAGGAACATCTAATTCGACTATTCCAGTAAGCTTATAATTTTAAATACATTATCCACTTTTATTTTATTAAATAAACTATTCTAAAGATATATTCTCATAAAATAAAGGGAAATATCTTTTAAAATATACAGGACTTCTTATAACTTTTTAATTTAAAGTAAAAATATCACTTTTAATAATTTAAGATTTTTTTAATTTCCATTTATTTTTAAATACAAAATGAGAATTAAAAGTATTCTTAATATGCATATATTTAGATAATAAACTTGGCAAGAAAATATTTATACTTATATCTCTTCCATTTATTTAACCTTTTATATTTCCATTTATTATATTATATGGACATTGTACATAAGTTATTATTCCTTATACTTTTAATTATTTTTTAGACTAAATTTCTTTAGGAAAAATATCATTTTTTATAAATAATTAAGAAGCTATAAATTTAACAAATATATATTTAATATATTTATATTATATTTTTTTATATAAAAAATACTATAATCTCCTTCAAAATCAAGTTCAAAATTTTATATTGGATTTTCACTCTATATTTTTTTATGTAATTTTTAATATAATTTTATTTATGTAAAAAAACCTTATTTTAAAAATACAAATCACATTAGATTAAAAATCTTTATCTTGATTAATCAAAAACCTTTTAAGAAATAACTCCGATTTTCAAATCTGAAGAATTAATGAGAGGGCATTTTGTTTTTAAATTTGCAACTTTAAATCTTCTCAAAATTTATTAAGTAATATTATAATCTTATAAAACATCAAAGATACATTTCCTATACTTATGAAGAGTACCTGTATGATTTTTAAGTTATATAATTTAATTTTTCAAAGGAAAGTCTCTTACAGATATATCACTTTAACCTATATATATAAATAAATAGAAATAAATAGAAATAAATATAAATAAATATAAATAAATATAAATAAATATAAATAATATATATATAATATATATATATATATATATATATGTATATGTATATGTGTATATATAAATTTATATTTTTATTATTTATATCATTTATTATAAATTTAATATTATTATTGTTTATTTGTTTACTTAAATCAGTAAAACTATCATGATCAATAAAATCATTAGTTGAATTTTATTATTTTTCTTTAAAATTACTGTTTATAGTTTATTTATTATCTTAATTTATCTATTTTTAAATAAATTAAGGACTTTTTTCATCTTTTTTAATATTATTATCAATTTATTAAAATTATTGTTGATTTTTTTATGTATTTTAAAATGTATCAAAGTTTATATTTTCGTTATTTTAATTATTCTCATTATTATTATTATTTATATTAAAATCAAAATTAAAATCATTATTGTCAAAATTAAAATCTGCATTTTATTATTATGATTATTTTTCATTATTAAATTCTCCCCATTAAAAATTCATGTCTTATTATTCTTTACTTTAATTGCTATTTTATATTTCAAAATTAAATTCATCATTAAATCCACCTTCATTAAAATAATTATTATTATTTTCATTTTAATTATAATAATCATTACTATTACTATTATAATTATTAATATTATTATTATTATTATTATTATTATTATTATTATTATTTTATTAAATATATTATTTGCATTATTATTATCATTATTATTATAATCATTTTTAGTTTCACTATTTATTTTTATTTTATTTTCGTCATTTTATTTATTTTACATTTTTTTTTCTTCATTTTATCTCATATACATTTATTATTCTTCTTCTTCTCTTTCAATTTATCTTTTTTATTATTATTCATATTCTTATTTATTTGTTGTTTCCTATAATTATTATTTTTAAAATTCTTCTTCTTACTATCTCTATAATTATTCTTATATTTATTATTCTTCTTTTTTTTTTTTTTTTTTTTCCTTTTTTTATTACTACTTAATTATTTATTCTTCCTATATATTTTTTTCTTAATCCTACTATTTTTTTACTTAACTTTATTCATTTTAATCTATTTCTTATTAATTAAATTACTAATCAAAATTAAAATCTGCTCCACCGAAATTATCAAAATCCCCTTAAAAATTTGGATTTTCTTAAAAATCTTAATTTACTTTAAAGCCATCGAAATTGTTATCATCGAAATTACCCCAATCATTAAATTATTATTATTTAGGAGATTCTTGAAATTATTATTATTTAGGAGATTCATTAAATTATTGTTATTTGGGAGATTGTTGAAATTATTATTAATTAGGAGATTCTTAAAATTATTATTATTATTAATTTTCATTTTATGAACTTTTTTTTTTATTTATTAATCATAATCTATTTTTCGATCTTTTGAAATTTCTTTTAGACGCACATTTTAAAATATTTTTTGCGCTTTTTTTTTTAAAAAAAACTAAATATTTATGCTATTTTTTTATTTAATTATTTTTACATAATTATAATAAATTTGATTTAAATTATTTATATTTAGTTAAATCATTTTAGCTTTTTACTAAATCTGTATACCCATCTTTATACTATTCTAATAATTCTTAAAAGTCTATAAACTATTATAATTGTTATTCATTATATTCAGGCTAACTTACTAATTAATTTATTTAATTAATTAATTCTTCGCTTAATTAATTTATATTATCTTTATGTGACTCTAAGACTATAGAATTAAATAAAAAAATTAAATTATATAAATAAATATAAAATATATAAACTTTCTAAAATAAATTATTCAGGTTCAGGAGTTTAATCAATAATTTCTAATAAAGGAAGAAACAACTCCTATATTTGATCTAAAACTAATAAAATAAAAATAATATATATAAATATATAAATAAATAAAAATATATTTTTATATTTTTTATTTATATTAAATATTAATATAATAATAAATATATATATATATATTAATATATATGATATATGATTTTTTATATTTTTTTTTTTTATTTATTATTTATATTTTTTATTTATAATAAATATTTAAATATAACATTACTATTTGTTTTTTATTTTTATTAAGTTTATTATGGAGTTTTAGTTTTTTTTATTTTTTATTTTCATAAAACATAAATTCTTCAGGAAATTCTATATTTTTTTGTTATAGCTTTCCTATAATTATTGTAAATTAAGTATCTTAACCAGTAGAAGTTTATGGCCATTTAGATTACCATTTCATTATACATTCTATGTTTAGGCGGATAAACTACATATATAAATTAGGATCTATTTTTATTTTAGATTATATATTATATTTATTTTATTACCTTCTTTTTATATCTTTTTTTCTTTTAATCATCTTCTGGGCTACTTGAACTTTCCAATTCACAAAATTTTTAAATTGATTTTAAAATATTATGCTTTAATAATTTTACTACAAATTTTGAGTTAGTTTTTTAACCATTATCAGGATCAATTATATATTTTAAAAGCTTTTAATTTTTTTTTATTATTTTAATTTTTTTTTATTATTTTAATTTTTTTTTATTTATTTACAAAAAGTGCTAAAAATTTATTTATTAAAGAATTTTATTCACTTTATAATATTTAATCTATACAATCTAATGTTTATTAGTAACATTCACTTAAAATAAAAGATAGATTATATTTATATATATTTTTAATAATATATTTTACGTGTCTTATAATTTATTTATTATATCCATAATTTCTTCTCTCTATTATTCAAAAATATCTTCATTTTATACAAGTTCTGGTATTTTATTTTATATAAATTATTTTTTTGACATTTTTATATGTTTAAAAAAAAAATTAATTTTTATTTTTTATATAAAAAATAAATATTTTAAAAAAATAAAATATAAATATAATAAATAAAATAAGAAAAAATATATATATTAATAAATATATATATATATATATATATATATTCATAACATATAAATATTTTTAAAGATAATTTTATGGTTTTTTTTTTATTACGATATATTCTGTTATATATTAAATATTTAAAACTAAAAATTTAAATTTTGAAATATTTATATTATAAATTTTTTTAAATATATTATATAAATCAAAATGGGAATATGTTCTACATGTTAAAGAAATAATGAATTAAAAAAAAGATAAAAATGATAATTTTAATTCATTAATATATTTTATTTAAGATTTAAGATGTTAATATAAAGAATAATTTGAGCTAAACTATCATTAAAATAAATAAAAAGACTTTAAAATTAAATTTACTAATAAAATTAAAAATAAGGATTTTTAATAATTTACATTTAATCCGAAATCCAGACCCGCAACTTTATATCAATTAAATGAATTTTTACATAAATAATTAATTTCAGAAAGTGTTTAAGAAAATCATAATTTCAATTAAATAATTCATGTAATTTAAATTAATTGTATTAAAAATAAATATACATAAAAAAAAAGTTATCTGAAGATGAGATTTATTAAACTGCAAAATAAATATAAGACATACATTATAAATAAACAATTTTAAACTCTAAATGAATATAAAATATAAATTGTAAATTATATTAAAGCAAACATATATTATATGTTTTAATAAAAAATAAGTATATATATCAAATAATATTGAATAATATAAGATTAATAAATAATAATAATAAAAAAAAAAATATGATTTATTTTCTAAAATAATTGAAAAAAAAAAAATAATATATACATGTAAATTAATGAAAAAAATTAAACTTTTTACTAAGAAACCATATAAAAAAAAACATAGAAGCTGATATAAAAAGCTCTTTTAAATCTTAAAAAAACCATTCAGCAATAAATTACAAAAAAAATATTTATATATTTGGGGGGTATAACGGCACTAAAAACAATAACAAATTATATATATTTGACAATTAAAATTAATGGAAAAAAATAAAATTTCAAAATAAACAAAGCCTACCATAAGGAAGAAACGGACATACATCAGTAGTTATTTAAAATAAAATGTACTTAATAGGTGGTTGGATAGATAAAGTATTTAATTAAAATTTAAATATATATATATATATATATATTATCATTATATTTTTTTTTAAACAAAAAAATAGGGTTTATATTAAAGTAATGTAATATATATTCTTGATTTAGATTCGTTAGAATGGGAAAAAAAGCCTTCCATAGGTCAATATCCAGGTTTTACTTTATTAATAATTATATTTTAAATGTATATATATCAAAAAAGGACCATGTAATATGCATACAGCAGAAGTTTATGAAAATTAAATATTTGTTTTTAGAGGAGGTGATGGTTAATAATATTTAAATGATTTACATAGTTTAGATATAGATACGTTTAAATGGATAGAAGTATAAACAAAAAATACAAAACCATAGCCTAGGGCAAACCATTCTTCGTGTTTAATAAAAGATGAAATGTATATTTTTGGAGGTTGGGATGGTTTTAAAAGATTAAACGATTTACACAAATTGAATTTAAGAAGTTTAGAATGGCTAAAAATTGATGTAAAAAATGACATATTACCACTTCCTAGGGCAGGAATGAAAATATTACATATAGAAGATAATATTTATATGTTTGGGGGAAGTGGGAATGTTAATAATGGTCAAAACTAGTTAATTTGTTATAATGATTTTTGGATTTTTTCAATAAAAGATAATTATTGGAATTAATGTAAAATATAGATTAAAGGATTGAATACAAATAGTTAATAATCTATATAGCCTAGAAGTGGTCATTCGTTTAATTTTTTTAATGATTAAATCTATGTTTTTGGGGGCAGTAATGGAAACAACTATTTTGATAGTTATATAATATTTGATGTTAACCCGAAGCCTTAATTAATTGCTAATGATAATATGGATTTTGATAATTTTTTTTTATAAAATATTTCTTCATTTTATAATTAACCATAATTTTCTGATATTATTATTTTAGTATAAAGTAACAAAAAAATTTATTAGATTTTATTTTATTCTTTTTTTTAAAAAAAAAATAGATTAATAATTTTATGCGCATAAAATAATTTTAAGTTCATTTTCCGAAAATTTAAAAATGATGTTTACAGTAGGAATGGCTGAAACTAAAGTAAATTAAATTTAAATTTCTGATATAACTCCTCATGTTTTTAGTATTTTATTATAAGGTATTTATAATAGAAATCTGTCTTTATAAAAAAAGATATGGAAAATATTGATTTACTTTTTGATGTTTATAAAGCTAGTGATCAGTTTTTGGTTGAAAAGATTAAGTTTTAAGTTTAATAATATATAGCCTAAATTATTAATTTTAATAATTATATGGATATTTTAAAAAAAGCTTAATAGGTGAATGCATTTTTTATAATTGAATTGTGTTTATGGTATTAATAGAAAAACAAAAAAAAATAATTATGATATTAAATAATTATTAAAAATTTGAATTTAATATTTATTAAAAGAAAATAGTAAAATTATTTAAGTCATTAAAATTTTTAATTTATAAATATTTTTAATGTAGATAAATAAATATAAGTTTAAATAATTTATTTTTTTAATTTTCATTTATAATTATTAATACATATTATTTGTACATAAATTTTATTCAAAAAAGTATATTTAAATGCACAAATAAATTGTGTGTTTTTTTTATTACTTTCGTTAAATATATTTTTAATTTAATAAAATAATATTTTTTATTAATCATATATATAAAAATTAGTATTTTTTATATTAAATATAAATAAAATTAAAATCTTATTAAGTTTTACATAAAAGAATTAATTTAATTAAAATAAAAATATTTGATTAAAAATCATTATAAAATTATTTTAATTAAAAATATATAAATATATATAAATATTTATATTTATATTTATAATATATATTATATGTATTTATATATATATATTTATATATTTTTAAAAATATTTTTAAAAAAATTAAAATAAATCATATTTCTAAAATATTTTGTTTTTAAAAGATTTTTTTTTTAATTTCTTTTTTTTTTTAAATAATTAAATATAACTATATATCATATATCACGATATATATGTCTATTTTGTCTTTATATTTTATTTTAAACTTAATATTTTTTTTACAATTATAAGCTTAATATAATGTCAATAAATGACTAGATAAATACAGCCTTAAATAATTTAAATTATAAATGATTATAAATAAACCTTAATGATTGACATATATTTAAATTAACGTATTTAATTATATTTAAACGATGGTTTTAAAATTTTTGAATTTAACATTATTTAAAGTCCTGATGATTATGAGTAAAAAACTCTTACTATCAAATAAAGACAAGTAATATTATAAGATTTCAAATATAATAAAATTTTTTAATAAAATTAATAAATACCATAAATAAGTAATTTTTTTAGTTATTTAATTATTAATAATTAATTTAATTTTTATTTTAAAAAGTATGTACAGCTATATAGTCAAAAGAGAACACAAACTCATAATATTAATAATATTAATTAGATAATTAATTGAATTTATATATATAAGAAATAAATTTCTCCTAAAATTAGACTTAATAATAGATAAAAAATACAAAAAAAGAGCTAAAAGCTTATATTAAGAATTTGATTTTGTAAATATTATTATTATTTATAATAAAAACCTAAATAAAAGAAAAAAGAAAAAGTCCATATTATTATAAACAATGATTAATTATACATGTTTTTTAATACAAAAGCTATATTATATGACTTAAGTAGTTTAGATTCATATGAACTTTAATCTTATTAATAATAGAAAAATATAAATAAAGTAGTATCTTATTCGAATTAAAAGAGTACAATTTTTTGTTTTGCAAATGGTGAATAAGGTATTTCAGTTTATTTAATTGATAATACTCAAAGCAAATTATAAAATTTATTTATTTCTGATTAATCTATAGAAGATGATAATATAATAGACATTTAAATATATTATGATGAAATTGAACAAAAAGCCTTTGTTTATGCCTTAGATTAAGAAATAGGGCTTAAATAATTTATATTTGATTTTTAGACTAATAATTTTTCCCAAAATTTTGAATTTTTAATACTTCATTCTTATGGTGAAATTTTTTAATAATTTAAAGGAAAAGTTTTCTTAATAGGAGGTTACTAATGGGGTTATTATAGCCTTAAAGAATATCAAGTAATAAAATAGCATATATTCATATATATATACATATATATTTAATTTAGTATAATCCTATAACAAATGAATATTTTTAAAATCGAAAATTAGATTAAGATTATTAACTTGAATATATTTTAATTGATGAATATTTTGCTATATTATGTGGAAAAAACTTTCATTAAATATATTATCATTCTATATCTTAGTTAACATAAAATAGATTAAATTTTGTTTAAAAATTTTAATTAAATGGATATAGATAGGGGATGATAATTTAAAAAGTTAACGAAGAAACATAACTTAAATAAAAATTATTTGTTGGATTTTAAAGAAAATAACTTTTTTAAATTTAAATTTAAGAAAAAGACCCTGAATTAATATTTAAACCAAATTAAAACATATAAATAAATCCGCATTAATTTATAATAGAATCATCTGAAAATTGCTAATAAAAAATAGTTTTTAATCGACGAATGTGTGTATATAATAAACCAAAATAATTCTAAATATTAAAAAAGTAAAAAAAGAATCAAATTTATTTATTTTTGTTTAAAAAAAAAAAGAAGATTTATTTAGATTCAGATAATTTTTTTTTTTTTATTATTATTATTTGCTTTATAATTTGTATCTTATTTATTATTATATTATTTATTTATTGCCTTTATGTCTAAAAATAAAATGCATAAACAAAATTAGAGTAAGATATTTTAATATTAAAAAAAGGAAATGATGGTATTATTAAAGTATTAACCACTTAGCCATAAAATACGTTTTAGAACTTTTATTAAATGGAATAAACGGGTAGTAATTCAAAAATTAGCAATAATAATTTACTACAATTTGTAAAAAATTAAAAGACAGAAAACGATATAAAAATTGGGAATTTTTAAGGAAATTCTAATATAATAAACTAAGAAATTTATTCTAATTAAAAAAAATGATTGTGATATATTTTTTTAAAAGCCAGAATTAATATAATATAATATAAAAAGAAATTATAAATAAATATAATTATTTATTTTTAAAAATAAAAAATAATTTGAATATAAAAGAAAAGTTTATAAATTAGAATAATTAAATTAAATATAGTTAAAATATTATATATTTTAAATACTTTTTTTTCAGTTAAAAAGTTCTGGAAATCTATACAAAATCATTTAAATAAATTACTATTATTCAAGAAACATTATATGAGCTTTTCTCCCTATAAAATAATCTATTCCTCTATATAATTAATTTATTACTTAATAAATTTATTATCTATATAATATTAAAAATAATTACATCTTATTAATATAAAATTAAACATCAAATCTATAAACAGGTATATTTTTTATTTTTAAGTAATATTACAAACCATTTCATTATGAATTTAAATATATCTTTATTTATTCAAAGTAAAAAAAATATATTAATAAAATAAATAAATTTATTTAATTTTTAATCTTTTATATTTAAAACTTTAGCAGATTCAGTTGGAGCATAATGATCTTAATAACTACTAAAAAATATAATTTATTAAAACTAATCAAAACCCTTTATTATAAAAATAATAAATATTAATATTTATATATATATAATAATATATATATATATTATCTAAAAAAAGTTAATTATTTTAATCTTCAAATTATATTCTTTTAGCTCTAATTTGAATATTTATAGTTCATTTATTTCTATTTTTTCAAAAAAAGATTGAATTTGAAATGTTTTAGTACAATAGGCTTCGTATTCGCTATATATATGAAAATTTATTATTTTATTTATTTAAAATAAATGGGTATTTGTTTAGTATTTTTATATACTTTATTGTTGACGGTTATCATCTAATTATATTATTTTCAACGGTTTGGCTTCTATAATCTTTTTTTTTTTTTATTAATTTTTATGGAATTAAGTTTTTACTTATTAGCTTTTATTTAGTAAAAGATATATAAGAAATCGGAAATGATAATATCCTTCTCTATATGTATATCGATGAATTTATTTATAATTATCTACATTTATTAGAAATTGAATTTTTAAATTAGTTTAATTCATTTGATATATAAATATGATTATAATAATGTACAAATGGATTAATTATTTATAAAAATAATATATATATATAAATTATATATATATATTATTTGATATAAAATTTATTTTATTTAATTTATATATATGATTTAATATGTATTTTTTTTTATAAAAAAAAAGAATTCATAATATAAGATATTTTATTAAATAAAAAAATATTTATAGAACTAAAGTATTTTTTGTTTATAAATAATTTTATAAATTATTTAAATAAATACATTTTATTTCAAATATATATAATAACTTTTAATTTTTTATTTATTTAATAAAAAATAGTTTTTATTTGTATTTATTTTTTTAAAAATATAATATTTTTTTTATATTTCTACTATAATTAATTAAATAAATAAAAAATATTATATACTATAAATACTTACTTTTTTTATAGTTTTATTTTATTTTAAATACAATTCGTTCAATATTTTTATAAAAAAAATATATGAATTAAACAATTACATTTATATCAGGTTTTAAAATTATCCGAAAGACGCCTACATATAGACTAAATGTTTATAATTAAGTTTAAAAAAATACAGAAATCCCTAAATTTGATTGGAATTTAGAAAAATATAATTATAATGTTTCATTTATGAAATAGAATTATGATTTATTTTGTAAAGTACATAATATTCCAAATTAATTTAATTATAACAAATATAATTAAAATAAAACAATTAAATAAGAATATATTAATAATTAACTTAAGAAAAACATGAATTCTGAAATAATGGAATAAAAAATAATATTTAAAAATATCAATAATTCATATAACTATAAAAAATGATTTTTGATTATAAAAACATAAAAAAAACTTAAAATAATTTTTTAAAATAGAAACAAAAAAGGAAAAAAAAAATTATTTAAATATATATGTGTGAGTGTGACAAAAAATATTATAGCCACATATCTATTATTTTAATATAAATGTTTTTTTATAAAAATTATAAATTAAATTTACCATAATTTAAAATAAAATAATTATTACTATAAACATATTATATAATATTTAATTTATTAAATAATTTAAATTATATTAATATATATATATATATTTAAAATATAATATTTACTAAATAATATATATTTATATATATTATGTATATTTTTAATAAAAATTTGAAAATA